AATGACCAAATTTTTTTCTTCAAATTTCTTTAAAATATAATTGACCTTTGCATAATGCAGGGGTTAGGGGCACCAATCTCTCACACAGTTGAAAATCTGAGTATAACTTTTGACTCCCCCAAATCTTAACTACCAATAGCCTACTGTTGACTGGAAGCTTTACTGATAATATAAACAGGCAATTAACACATATTTTGTGTGTTATATGTACTCTATACTGTAGTCTTACAATAAAGTAAGCTAGAGAAAAGAAAATGTTATTAAAATCGTAACAGAGAAAATATGTTTACTGTTCATTAAGTGGAAGTGGGTCATCATAAAGGTCTTCATCCTCATTGTCCTCATGTTAAGTAGGCTGAGGAGGAGGAAGAAGGGAAGGGCTTGGTCTTGCTGTCTTAGGGGTGGCAGAGGTGGAAGAGGTAGAGGAGGTGGACAGGGAGACAGGAGAGGCAGGCACACTCAGTGTAACTTCTATTGAAAAAAAACATACACAACTGGATCCGTGCAGTTCAAACCTGTGTTGTTCAAGGGTTAACTGTAAATATAGTATTTCAGTAGTTAACATTAGCTATTGTAACACAAACCAAAGTTAGGCATTTTCTTTTTATTAATTATGCCATAATAAATCTGTTCTCCTGTTCTCTTTGGCTTTTGTATCCATTACTTGTTAGAATTATACTCACAGAAAAACATACATATGATATATAATACATGTGTAATTCAAGTTTTAATGCAAAAAAGGAAAAGCTTTAATGCAAATAGAACAATGAGGACAATAGAAATGAAAAGAGGCAAGGCAAATGATCTCTCTGGATGTATAAGTTGGTATCACAGGGGCTATGATGTACAAGACTTGCTGCTGTAAATTAGCAAGCCAAAAGCACCTAGAACTTAATGCCCCATTTGTAAACAAATCTTAATTGTGAAGTTGAATGACTGCATGATACCTCTTGTTTTGTGCTTATGAGATTTGTGAAATTCAAATGGATCATTGAAAATGTGAATAAATGCTGTATAATCAAAAGTAAGAAGTTAATACAATTGCCTGTAAAGGAGAATTTTTATAACAAATGGAATA